ATTGCATATAACATGATGCATACAAAATCAAGAGTGGATTGACACGTCAAACTCTTAAAAGAACCTACTCTTCAAAGCTCTCCAGCACTTTCCAAGGAGAGTAAAAATCCTTTTCTGATGTTTGAATGCCAAACAAAGAAGGAAAAATAATAGAAAAGTGATTCTTAAATTTCAAAATCCTAAATGATTATCTAAATAAGTAAAATTTTAATTTAGGTATAACGGACTAAATTAGTATTTACAAATTTGCTGCAACAATCATATTGTTTTTTATTAAAGAAATATCAAGCACCCACACCAACCGGCATGCCATTGGAGCTCTGACGCCGGTAGTTGCTACTAGAGTTTAAGTGGGCCATTGTCATCGGAGTTCTGGCTACCTGCAATTATTTTTTTGAGAATTTTTGCAATTTCAGTAATGTGGTTAATAAATTTTTTAACGCTAATAACAAGTTTGGTATATCAGTTACCAATAAATTTTCTAAGAAATTAAAAAAAGTGACATTCTTACAGTTTTAGTAAAGCGGTTAATAGGTTCTGTAACGTTATTAATAAGTTCAATATGACAATTCACAACAGATTTTCTGAAAAATTCAAAAAGTGACATTTTTACAATTTCAGTAACGTAGTTAACAAATCATGGAATGATATTAATAACTCTCATAGCCCCATTAACAAATTTTCCTATGAATATTTATGTTTTTAATATTAACTCCCTATGAAGGTTATGCATCAAAACTTCTTCATTTATTAAGCAGTCAATGTGGTTTTGAAAGTTATTGATATCATTGTATGATTTGTTGTTAAAGTTATTAATCGCATTATGACAGTTGTTGATATGGTTACATGACTTGTTAACCGAACTATTAAAGTTGTAAAAATTTCACTTTTTTAAATTTTTCTGAAAATTTGTTATTAACTGTTATATCGAAGTTGTTAATAGCATTACAAAACTTATTAATCGCGTTAATAAAATTGTAAAAATATCACTTTTTAAATTTTCTGAAAAATTTGATATACTATATCGAAATTGTTAATACTTTTTTTTATTTTTCAATGCTGACGGGAACAAGGGACAGCTAATCATCTATGCACGATAGCAGTAATTACAGAAAGGTTTAAACCATGAAAGCTGATTAAGGAAAGTATGAACAGAGCACATGATTAATTCATTATTTTGTCCTCTACCCTTTCATTATCATTATGAGTAAAATAATAAGTAGTTCTTCTGCCATCCTCATAAAGTGCACTCTGATGCGCCATCATCTGAATCCTGGCCTTTTTTTTTTTTTGACCGGAGAATCCTGGCCTTAATGCTTAGGATACTCTGGTTTCCTACTCAGAACAGGCGTTACTCGATCCAAACAAAGGAAAAGGAAAAACCACTGGTGAATTGGAACTCAGGTAATATTAGGATACAGCCTCGCATTCTTTCCTTGAAAATCAATTTAAAAAGAAAGAAATGACAACAAGTGAGCTTATATATTGATCCATTTGCTGGTTTTGAACATCCATCACAATTTCAGGTCCTCCAAGAGATCGCAAGTTAACAGTGAATTCAGAGGAAATAAGTTTGGACGGGGTTCTCTCTGGCCCTTCAGCCCCAGCGAACCCAATTCTGAATCCACTGTAACCAAAATGCAAGTGGGCTGCAGAGGCAGCAACAAGAAGGACGACAGTCGTCACTGGAGAGATGACGGGCGAGACCGTCGTGTCCGTCTGCCGAAGTTGGGCGCTGCTCGCGTCTTCCGGCTCACGGGCGAGCTGGGAAACAAGAATCACGGACAGACCATTGAGTGGCTCTTACGCCAGGCGGAGCCGTCCATTATTGCCGCCACTGGTGGTGCTGTGTCGTTCACATCGGCCATGGCTTCATCGGACTCGGTTGATGATGAACCAACCAGCGAAGGCAAAGTTGTGGGGAAAGGGACAGATTTTGTGGTGGAAGATGAACAGCAAGCTCTGCCGCCACTGGAGCTAGATTTCTGGACAGGCTTAGACATGGAGCTCTATGGTAATAAGGTTGCAATGCTCCATTAATTGAGTGTGGTGGGCAGGAGAGGGGAAATCATGAGGCTGACGTGGTTTTGATCTGAATAAGAATATTAAGATTAATATTGGCAAGTTAGCGCTCAGGTTACAGTTTAGATGCTAATGTAATTTGGTTGTCAGTCACTCATCGGTCTTTTCTTTTCTTTCTTTCCACCCCTTTTGGCAAATATTCTGTTGTCAGGATTTTGAAACGAGTCAGTTACTCGTCGGGGTTACGGAGACAGCGGGAAAGGGTCGGGAGAAAAAGAAACATATCCATGCAGGTTTGACATCCGAAATTAAAAAAAAGAAAAAGAAATAATGAATTAAAGAGAACAACATAAAATCCAAAATTCTAAAAACACCACTCTAAAGAAAGAAAAATCTCCCTCTCTATCTGCGAACTTCACATGTAAGAAAATTCAGATCCACAGCCAAAATAATTATTCCCGACAAAGGATAATTTAGATCCACATTAATGAGTAAACAAACCTGAGTCATTTAAAAACCAAGAGAGATGGATGTATCTATTTATTTTTGCATATATGTTCATTCTATAATCTGTTTTATACAGCATTCATTTATTTTCATATTCGAATTTAGTGTGTCATTCGAACTTTCAAATATTTATTATTGTTATTTACATTTTGTTATTCATTGTTTAATTATTTTTTAATCGTTTAGTAACTATAATGATTTTTCTATCTATGCAGAAAGTTTGTAATTATCATTTAAATTGTAATTTATTATGACTTGTTTTTTTTACAAATTATTGAATTTTTAAATATTTTAATTTTAAAATTAAAATTAAGATTTGATTAATAAATCATCATTAAGGGCAAGATAGTTATTTGAATGCTTTTTTCTTAACATTCTATCATCATTTTCAACCTACTAAATATAAATTCTTTTAACAAACTATTTTTTTAGTGCGGTGGATAACGTTGCAGCAGTCATAAATTTTTCATTCTGATCTTCTTTCTATTTCATTCTCTTCATTTTCATCACAACTAATTATTTCTGCCAAATTGGTCTATGCTCCACCGAAGGAAGAGCTCTTCCCCTGTATAAAGAAAAAATTACAATATGCCTAGTATTGGTGTTGAGAATGTATAGTGTGTATGCTAAAAGATAAAGTTAATTTTTTTGAACCGGAGATAAGTTCAAAAGATTGAATCCGTAATTCCGGCTTAAATCAAGTCAAAATCATTTGCCATGCCGTATGTAAGCGTAATACTACAGTCGGTTCGTGGGACCGTTCACTGGGACCCTCTTGCTTCCGAATTTGGTGCGCATATGAAAGTGGTGGGTGGAATTTTGAAGTCCATACATGGCCATTCTACTTTTCTCATATTTTCTTCCATGCCATGGGAAAGATCCTTAAGTTGGAAGTTTCTTCGACTTATTGAAGCCGAAGCCAAGAGCTGCGCACGCATTGGCGGCTCTATGCTTTAGCACGAGATTGCGCGTCGACGATATAGAAAAAGTAGCCCGACACTCAACGGGATGATTGGAAGGTATAGGATACGCGCCAAGAAATGGAGTAGGAGGTGTGGGAGGATGGGGTTTGGGGAGGGGGAGGGGGGAGGGGGTTTTATAGGTGTTTGGCAACCTCCAAACCATGGTTTCAGAAGTACTTTTTTATAAAACAAGGTAAATTCCTCTACATATATACTTCGTAAACCATAAAAACACTTTTAAAATTATAGTTTGGTTTCTATCCAAACACCTCATTAATCTAATAGTAAAATCAAACGCAAGCTGAGAAATTCTAAAATTGAGTTGAGTAACCTCATCAATAAGCATAGCGCCACGCTCAAGGGGATGATTGGAAGGTGTAGGATACGCGCTAAGATATAGAGTAAGAGATGCGAGAGGAGGGGAATGGAGAGGGACAACAGGAGTGGTCTGAGAAGGACGAGAATAGGGCTGTGCAAAAACCCGGTGGTCCGGTATGGTCCGGTCCAACCCGAACAAACCCGGTCCAGTCCGGTCCAGAAAAAATTAGCCCGAAATAAGACTGGACCAGACTGGACTGGACTGGTCTCATCGGGCTGGACTGGACTAGGGACTGACCCCTCAGACCAGTTGGTCCAGTCCAATCTAGCCCGATTTTTTAAAATTATTATTTATATAATTTTAATTTGATTTAATATTTCTATATAAATTTTTTATCTACTCAAATAATTAAGATTTATCTATTAACTTTCGAAGTAATGAGCATGCATATATATTTTCTACAATTTAAGATCTATATTGATGAGGATTAATTAATAAAACATGACTTCATTGGGAAATTGAAAAGGAATGATCAAAATTGATAAATTTTGAATTAAAATATGTGCAAAATTTTATATAGTAAGTTACAATCTTGCTTCCTATCGAAGAAATTTTTTTTTTTTAAAAAATAAATTTAGGTCTCTGGACTGCCTGGACCAGTCCAGGCAGTCCAGAGGACCAAGTCCAGTCCAACCCGACCTCGGGTTGGCACTGGACTGGACCAGACCTCGGGTTGTTTTTTTCAGCCCGAGGTCTTTACTGGACCAGACTTCGGGTTGATGACAAACCCGGTCCAGTCTAGTCCATGCACACCCCTAGACGAGAAGGTGACGTTTATTTAATTTAATAGTAAAGTGAACTGCAAACTGAGAAATTCCAAAATTGAGCAACACCTATAACGCCACACTCAACGAGATGATTGGAAGGTATAGGATACGCGCTAAGAAATAGAGTGGGAGATGTGAGGGCCAGGTAGCGGGCAGGGGAACGGGCGGTGAAATTCCGGAACCACCCTCAGGCAAAAATAGAAATTCCGGACCTCCCCCACAGCACCGCCCACCCTCCAAATATAAATAGTAGCCTCCCCCCCCCCCCCCTCTCCCTGGCCTATGCCACACGAGCCAAATTGCCCGTTCTCCTTCATCCCCGAGTCTCTCCTTTCTCAGTTCTGCTTCCCTTATAGTACTTTCATGGGACAGGCTTCTCTGGTCTTCGTTGCATTTCTTATCTCCTTCGCCTTAACGGTCGATGTTAGAATCACTGGGGTTTACCCTGGGGATCCTTGTCAGAGTGCTCATGCTACCTTCTGTGGAGGAACTGATGCCTCTGGCACTACGGGTCTGTACCTCCTCTGTCATCGACGCTTTTTCTTTATTAATGTGCCTTTCATTTCTGCTTAGTCACTAGAGTTTGTGGGTCTTGTGCAGGTGGAGCTTGTGGACACGGTAACATATACATCCACGGGTACGGCGGCAACACGGTGGCGCTGAGCACGGCACTATTCGACTTTGGGCTGAGCTGTGGAGCGTGCTTCGAGATAAAGTGCGCAAATGACCGGCAATGGTGTCACTCTGGGAGCCTATCCATCTTCGTGGAGGCCACTAACTTCCGCTACCCTCTTCCGGGCGACAGTAGCGGCAAGCCACCCTCAGCTGAAACAGGCGTCAAAACGGGCACTCAAACGCAGTATTGGTGGGGACAGTCATGGTCGTTTACTGTCACGGGCAATGACGATGAGGTCGTGCACTGGCAGTTCAGTCAAACTTTCACTGCCCGGACCTTCCAGGTTTGATCCATACGATGAGGTGATGGAGGTCGGGGTCTATGAAGTTTGGGTATGAGGTGATGCGGTCGATGTGGGGCAGGTCGCTGAAGTCTGCGTAATATTTTTGGGAGGGGAGGGGGGGAGGCTGTTTGTGTGTTTCGTCTCGATTGACTTTTTAGAAAATGGCGGGGGGTTTTGTGGGTTGACTTCGTTTCGTCAGTTTTTAGGAGGTGTGGGGATGAGGGTTTCTTTTTTCCTTTTTTTTTTTCTGAATTAAATGAGGGGCTTTATACAATGTTTGAGCGAAAGCACTTGGTTTGTTTCAACTTTCAATCATATATTCAGGTTGTTGCTTTTTCGCCTCTTTTCTGCTATTTTTTGTTTTTTGGTATCTTCTTTGTCCAATTAAATGCGCACGAAGGGATCTATTAGAGGAAAGCAGAACACGACACATATGGGTTCTGTAATTCTTTTGTCTGGACAGTAAAAATGGCCCGCGAGTCGTAAATGTGATATTTATCTGCAGAGTACCTCGAATAGTCAAATTATTCTGCAGTCCGACTATTTAAGGCTATTCTACGGGACTCCGATAATTCTCCCTGAAATGGAAAGCAAGTTTCAAAATTTCAAAATTGCCCCTGCGAGCGGTCTGGGGATTTTTGTTTTTGTTTTTTGTTTTGCTACAAAAGAGGCTAGACGCCTGAATATTTAGGAGACAGTGGGATTGTATCCCATACAATCTTCTTCCACAAGAGCCCGTAATCTGCTTGGGTTAACATCGAAAAACTGCGAGGATGCAAGGGGATCCTTCTTTTTATTTGTGGGTGCGGTGGAAGTGAAAAGGGCGTGGGTCCAAAGAAGCACATGGAAGTGTGGAAGAGATATAAACAAAGTAGAGCAATCAAGGCTAAAAAGTGTAAAGTCAGATGTAATAGAAAATTAAGAGAGAGAGAGAGATTTATTTATTTCGCATTTCGTTTAGTTGGAGTAAATAATACATTTCATTGATTATTATATCCAAAAAATAATATACGTCGTTTCTTTGATATCCATTGTTTTTTTTAAAAAAAAAAAAGAGAAAATTTGTTATATGTAGTACAATTCTTTCGTGTTTTAAAAATCGCATATAATATTTATTGTAAATTTATAAAAACATATCTTTCTTAAAAAATATTTGATTAAATTTGATGCATAGTCTCGTTATAAAAATTAAATCGATCTGCTACAACAATGCAAAAGACTTGGAGGAAACAAATATGACAGAATGTGAAGCCTTTGTAAGTCTCTAGTGTTTTACCAGGAGAACAATAAGAATTAAATACGTCAAATCAAATCAAAGTATTATTCATAAATCATGGCTTTTTAATATAATTATTATTTGCGTGCTTGCGTGTTAAATTATTATCCTTAGTTTGCATTCGGTCAAATAAGTTGCATTGGCCATAATACAATTTTTTGTGAATTTCATGTTATATATGAAATAGGTATATATAGAGATATAGATGCATAGTTGCAGGGATGCACAAGAATAAAACTAAATTTGCCTAAATCTGGTGCCAAAATTTTCCAATGATCTCTCAAAACAAAACAACGCGTTAGAATATCTGTTAAGACCAGAAGTAACAGATTAAACTCATGAAGCTTTCAAGTACATTTCATAACAACGAGGTGAGTTCTTTTATAAAATGGAGGCCAAGAAGGAGTAGGACAAAATCGGCAGCAGCTTTAAAATGCAAAAAAGGGGGAAAAAACATTTCAGCAATATAGATGAAGATGACAACAACTAATATCAAACCTGAAGGTTGTCCCAGAAAAAGCCATCCCTGAGGTCAAGTAGACCAAGTAGCGACCCAAAATAGACATGTTTGGGGAAATATAATTCCCAAATAGTTTCGGGAGGAATTCTTAGGTACTGCCACCTAAGGAGTGTTTGGATGAAACCAAATCATGGTCTGAATAATAGCTTTTGGATAATAGATTTTGTGAAGAATAGATTTTGTAAAAAAGTGATTCTCATAAAGTGAGAGTGTTTAAATAGTTGTTATCAGAATCACTTTTTATATATACAAATTACTAAAAAAGACATAAGTTAATATGATAATTATATAAAAGATAAATTTTATGATATATTTTAATTTGAAGGAATAAAATTGTTAATAATATATTTTTTACCAACATAATTAATAATACATAAGATAATGTAATTAATAAATAATTAATATGTGTATATATTTATAAGATATAAGATTAAATGTTTATAAAAAAATAATTGAGGGATGTTAAAATCATATTATTGTTGAGATCTACTCTGATAGGCATAATCATACTCTCCAATTTGAGTCAGAAGTAAAATGGATTTACTTCTCCTAAAATCATGATTTTGACACAAACTATGGTTTCGGATTATTTCTTTAAAATTGATGCTATTTGGGTGACATCCCACCCAAACTATAGTTTTGCCTCCCAAACTATGGTTTTAGGGCACCCAAACAGGCCCTTGATCTTGATATATAATTTTATAATTATAATTATTTTTTTAAAAAATTAAATGTACAAGTAAATAAAATTTGTGGAATGAAAAAAAAATCATTCGGAAAATTTTGTAAAGGATCTTTAGATATTTCTTCGAATCATGGTTTTGAAGAGAAAATTATGGTTTCAAGAGAAAATTATTTAAACATCACATTTTTTCTCAAAATCAATTTTAAAGTTGAAATCGTGGTTTGGATAAGAGTAACCAAACACTTTAATTTTTTTGTAAAATCACTTTTAATTTGAAAATCATGATTTTGAGTATAAAATCATGGTTTTTTATGAAGTAAATTTTTTTTTGCTTTTGAAGATATAATGCAAGTGTGAAAAGAGAAAAGGGGCGTGGTTTAGCCAACAGATGGGATAAAATTGTTTGACATGTGGTCATTTCATTGCTCAGCGCACAATCCGCACATAACTCGCACATAGTTCGGTGAAGCGCTGCTTACACGTGGCATCACAACAGATACGGTCTTGCCTCAAAATCTGGTTAGATCTTAAATCTTTCAACCCAAAATGTACTCCTGTCACTTTTAGGTACTTTCAACCCAATATCTCTTTTTATAAATTTTATATTTTGTATATTGAGGTGTTTATACAAATCAAAAGTGGATTGACACGTCAAACTGTAAAAAGAATCTACAAATACTCTTCAAAGCTCTCCAACACTTTCCAAAGAGAGTAAAATTCCTTTACTGATGTTTGAACGCCAAACAAAGAAATACGCAGAAACTGTTAGCGTTTAAGGAGAGCTGACATGTCCTTTACACTTCCAAAATTCCATTTACACATTCAGTTGCAGTAAAATTTCTTATCCGCGTTAATTAAGAATTGTTGTGATATTACAATCACAAAAATTCCAGATCAAAATGTTGAAGGAAAACAATTAACCAACTGGATGCTGATTATTCCTTTTAAACATTTAGAAATTTACATTTGGGAATGTTATGACAACAAGTATATATCATCTATTTAACACACACAAATATACTCCCGCAGTCCATAATATTTGTCATTTTAACTAATTCATGAGAATCAAAAAGTGACAAGTAACTCATTAAACATGTCATAAATTAAAAGCCTTTTCCACTCTTAAATTTTGTATGAAAAGTTATTTTTAAACATGTCCCAAGACCCGTCCAATTTTTTTTTTTTTAAAAAGGGAAATGACGTTTATAAGGAGAGAGAAGAATGAACTTTCATCAAAGTAATTGCATAGGAAATATTTTGAGGAGAGAGAAAATACAAAGAATTGACAAAATTAGAAATGAGTGTTAATTATAGGGTAAAATTGGTGAGTATTAATTATCGTACAAGTAACTTACATCTTAGACCATGCTATTCTTCTAAAAGCGCTCTATCTGATTTTAAGGAGCTCATTGATAGATTAATCAAAAACACATCTAGCAAGGAATGTTTCTCTTCAGTCTGGATGCTTATTGACCAAATGAGGAAGAGGAAGTGGAACATAGAATTACAATATGGCAACATGTACCGAGAGATGCTAACAGGGTTGCTGATAAGCTAGCAATAGATGGCCTCGGTGGTACTGTTGCTTTTATGTTTATTGATACGTTCCCAAATTCACCGAGGACCCTTGTGCAGAAGGATTGTATGGGATCTTTATCCCTTCTCATGTAGTTTGATTTTGTAATGGGTGCTGCCATCTCTTGCTATATATATATGTAAGCAACTCAAAGATTTCAATCCTTCACAAACAGTACTGGTATTCACTCGCTACCTCCGTTCATCCCATGTATTTGTCCAATCAAAATACAAGTACCGGTTACTCAACCAACGGCCTACGCCTCTAGAATCAAGATGTATGAATATTGACAATCCATTAACGGCTCACATACTCTAAATTACTGCCTCTAATACCTCGGTATATATTAAGGGCAAAGGCATGCTAGAGTTTGAAAGGAGGACAGCGGGAAGCTTACAATAAAATTGAACACAGGGAAAGGCGGTGACTCCTACCTATTAACATCATCTCAAATTCAAAACTGAACAATATGTATCAAACTAACAGATTCAACGTCGCGCATGTAATTCAAAGATGTTTTAGTTTAGATATCAAAACAATCCACGCATTAAATTGGCCAATAAGATGATAGATTGCGAAGCAGTAACCCCGCCACCGTCAATATAACTGCCCCAGAGTGCATAAAGCGCAAAGGATGCACATTGGATTGCAGTTAATTCGAGGGCAATTGCTATGTAAGCCAACAGGCAAAAGCAGGCGACTTTGACAGCAGGGAGCCGGGGAGAAGAAATGGAAAACAACTCGCATATCAGCATGCGGACCTGCAATCATCTAGATTCGGTCGGTTATCAACATCTCAAACCCAAATAGACACTAAAATAAAGATTCTCTTCACAGTGTATCCATAACACTGGATAAATAATTCACAGATAAAAGACTGACATAACTTGGTGATAGTTTCCCATTGACTGAGTGTAGAATAATTTAATTAATTCCTCGAAGGTCACAAGGCCCTAAAGGTAAACCTAACAAACTTCGGCCAAAAAAAAGAAAACCTAACAAACATCTTGGTAAATCAATTCTTAAGGAAATTTAGTAAGAATATCATATTTTCTATCATGTGAAATTTTATAGCGGAGAAAAGAAGAACTTTTCAATGACTTGGTGAGACGGAAAATATCTCAATGAAAAGTGTGAAAATATGACTCCCACGATATATTTCTTGATCTCAATTCTCCAAACTGCAAATTATCAAAGGAAGCCACCTTACTCATCGGTCCTTTGCTGTCTAATATAAGGCATTCATTATCAAGGTTCTCATAGGTTGCATTTGGTAGAAAGCATTAAAAATGAAAGATTAGGATTGAGATTGCAATTAAGAAAATTTATTAAAAGAGTGTTTAATATAAGAGATTACTTGTTATATGGGATTAGTCAAACCCATATATGTGAGATTAGAGAATACCATGGGGGGAAGTGGTATTCCCCAATCCCACTTCTATGAGTTTGACTAATCCCATATAATAAGCAATTACTCATGCTAAATACTATTTTAATAATTTTTTTCAATTGCAATCCCAATTTCAATCCCAATCCCTCATTTTCAATGCTTCGTACCAAACGGGACCATAGTGTTTTGTTTTCCTCCTCCAATTTTTGTTTATTCATTTTCGTTTTTAAAGTATTCTGCTTAGCTGATACAAATTTCTTTCCCCTCTTAAACATCATTTTCCCCAAGAGTACAAGAACCTGTCATTGGTGGAAAATCAATTTTACATGAATTACATCTTAAGACGACAACGACATCATTTTAAACAGCTAATGGAGCGCATAGCAGAACAATGGGTGAAAGGATACATGCTTACCAACCTCCTTCAGGGTATATTGAATTGTAGTGTACCTCAGCCCAGAAGCTCAAACAAATTACTGCACAATGCTCAGAATAATAAACAACTAAGAAAAGCCACCATTCTTGAAGCAAATAACTTCCTTTTATTTCCAAGGGGGAAAAAAAGAAGGGAATTAATTAGTAGTGTCAAAAGTGAGAGCTTAGTCAACCTGTAATCACAAGATCCTTATTTGGAATGTAGGGCTATGTCTAAGTTTTATTGCAGGTTACAACTAGAAACCGAAAACGGTTACAATGAAGAAATATGCTTTCTATTTCAAGAGCATAAGGAGATTGTATTAATCGATGTGAATCGCATAAAATTACTAAAATGTGAGTGAGAGTCCATTAAAGATGGAGCATAACTATACCTCGTTTGGATCTTTCAAAATTAGGAAGAATTTCAATGCAGCAAGTGTCCTTGAATGATGTTATGACAAAAATTTTTACTCCATACTGCAACACATGCTAAAGGGAATTAGACAACACAACAATCGTTTCAAGACAAAAATTATCATGATGCAAAATAAGGTGGTCCTTCTAGATCGTTTCAGTTCCACTTCTAATGAATCTATGTTAACACTAAACAGGATCTGCTAATTATAGTATTTATGATAGAAAACAACCAGCAAGAAGCTGTAAAAGAGAGCACACAGATCATGCATAATAACCATAAAAAGCTTATAGACAAGATGCTGAAACATACAGTATCTGCCGCAGCCTGCAAAGTAACATGATCTCCCCATTCACCATTCCTGATCCCATCAGCAAGATAATCAATGTACGGAACAAATATTTCAAGAAAGAAACTGATAAAAATAAGCAAGGATGAGCAGAGAGGTACTTGGACATCTTCTCTAAATAGTCTCCATAAGCCATGGGAACATATCCCTCATATATCGCTGGATATAACTTCAACTGATCCATGAATATATATCCCATTAAAATTGCATAGAGAAGATTAACTTCACAGCAACTATTGTCATGAAATCATATCGATCGATTACATGGACGATCATACAAAGCTATAATGACATAGACGCAAACCTGATTCACAATTTGTTCTCGCACAAATTTATGGTGCTCAGAAGTTCGGTAAATTTGATCTGATAGTGCACGAAACTGAAAAGGGGGGAAAATCTCATGTGACATCAATTGAACTACATAGCACAAAGATCACTATATAAGTTTGAAGCCTAAGCGGTATGTAAATGTATCACCATGCACTAACCATTAACATCATGGTTGATTCAATGGTCAAGACAAAGCATAAAACACAAATATTTTGTTGTCTTGTTGTGATTTGGCATGTAGACCATCTAATTATAGAAAAGTGTCTAATTTCTGAAGAAATAAGAAGCTAAAGATGACGATCCAAGGAGATGGCAATGCAATGAAAGAAAAGAATAAACCTGACAGTTTCCATCTCCTTCAACTTTAGACTCAACCAACTCGTACATCTGCAATCTATGAATGAGAAAAATATTCTCAGCATTTTTGGTCTAGCATAACAAATTTAAGCAAGACCAGATCATAGATATGTAGAAAGTTCCAAACAGAAATTAGAAAGAAAAAGGCGGAAAGAAACCAACATCAACATCAACATGCAAACTAGCAAGCAATACCTGTCCAGTAGCCTTTGATGATCTAATGTTGCTTCATCAACTGAAGGTATTTCTCCGTTGGTTCTAGGAACATGCTGCATGAAGGATCACAGATGCAACATATCATATATCCAACACCCCCCCCCCAAAAAAAAAAAAAAAAAAATCAAGACAAGTTTCTCAGGTGACCAACACAAAACATCAGAAGTGAGAATCGAGATTGTGGTCTAGCAATCAATGACAGTAGAAAATGTCAGCCAAACAGCATCATGAAAATGACAGATGACAACCTATATGCAGCTACAAAAAACCTAGAGCTTAGGCAATTAGAATAATTAGTTATCGATAACATATCAAAATTGTCGTTTGTCACCCAGACATGTGATTTGATGTTAACAACAGAAGGCATAAATAAAAATAATTAAAAAAAAAAAACGTAAAGCCTTCCCCAGAAATGCATCAATGGAACCTGAGAAGCAAAACTTACTGGAATTGGTATCATCTGATTCAATCGTTTCCCCACGTCTCCATCAGCACATTCATGCATCTCCTCCAATGAATATAGCCATTCATCACCATAATATGAATTCTTTTCTGAGCTAGAACATGAACTAGAAGGCCCCTCATCATCATCCTCTTCTTGATCACTCTCCTGTCCTACAAATTTTGCATAAACTAAATACAGAAACAATAGAGTAAAGCAGAAAACTGAGCAGCTTAAGAAGACATTAAAGAAGGAATATTCAACATACCGGGGTCATAGTCACCCATTGGATGGTTGCGCCAGTCTTGGGGGTAAGCAGATAGCTGTAGATTTTCCTCCCACTGATCTGAAGGTGTGGGAGCTTCTGCAACTGCGAGTTGTGACAGTTGTTGTTGAAGAGCATGTGCCATTAGCTCATCATTTTCTATGTTGCTAAATTCAGTTTCATAGTTGTCTTCATTATAATAATGCCCATGATAGCAACTAACATTTTCCAGAGTAACAGCACCACAATAACCACAGGTAGAATATGGGCCCGCATCAAAAAGCTGCAGGCCCCATCGCACAACATCAGGATCTTGCTCATACGAAATCATCTCTCCAATAATAGCGTCCTAACTCAGAAAAAATTTGCTGGAAACAACCATATTTAATTCCAACGGAATGTCAGAACTCGGCCAATTTTACAATAATCATGTAAAGAAAGAAACTCGCTTCATGTAGTCATTTCAACAGGTCGCATTCCTGCAGAACAATAATAAACAGAATTATTTCATGTATTAAAGACCAAAGATATGCCGAGAATAAGAAACCCAGAGCAAGTATAAACTTCAAGGATTTGGCGTTGAGTAAAAATAAAGCACTTTTTAGCCTCCTTGAAATCCTTGTTCACACATTTAGAAACTGTCAAACTAACCTTTAATTCCAACAGGACAGGTTCTACGTGAACTCCTTTTTTAGACCAAAGAAAAGTGAAGATTCATTAAAAGACAAAAAATCAATCCTTCACTTAGTTCGGGCATGACATCGCACAGGACAACAACGAATGAGAAGTGACGACAGTGACCAGAGAGGAATTTTGAATTCACAAAGCATCTCTCTCAACGGCCATACCATCCGCTTAATCTTTTCCATATATAAACAAGGATACGAGTATGCTCTTGACTTTATAACAGTACAGCATGGAAACTGAATTTTGTTGACTGCCAAAAAGATGAGCTGAGAATTTCAAACAACCATTATAACACTCCAACAATGTTAGCGACTTAAGGCAAGAGCTCGTAGTAGAAACCAGAAAAAGCTGAAGTTTAGGACATCAGACATTAAAGTCCAATATAATTTGCTAGCAAGCAGCGGTAAGTGTTCCTTCGAATGCGTACGATATCAAGGCACAACGATAAAAGAACAAAGAAAAAAAATCATCGGACATCCGAGAAACGGAAATGAGGAGCAACGTTTCTAGCAGGCGTTCCTCAGATGGCGACGAAGATTTAAAGGAGAATGAAGATGCAGAGTATTAGCAGAGGTTCCTGGAATTCGATACCTCACCGAATAGCTTTTGTTCCATTATTCGCAATGATTCAGTAGACAACCAGCGCATCTCATAGTTATAAACAGTTGCTCAATCTGAACAAACTTGAAGGAAAGAATAATGAATTCAATATGCGAAGCACTGGAAAAGAGAAAAAAGAAATGAGAGACAGTGATGCAAAGCTTCCTACACTTTGGGTGAAATCGGAGAATATGCAGGCTCTGTAGCATTCGTCCAAACAGGAAAACGAAACAAGTTCCGATCCGAAAAGAGCCAAAAATAAAAGCCGATTGAATTTTACAAATATGATTAGATTAGGACATTTATAATTATGAGATAGTAAAGAAAATGGGGCGCGGGAAGAAGGGCGGGTAAGACGCCAGAGAATGAGAAGACGAGGAAATGGAGAGGGAGTGTCTTACTATCTTTTCAAGGGAAGGGCTCCAGAAAATGCCAAGATGGTAAGGGGACAGATATCACGAGGTTTGTTCAGTGTTTCAGAAAGCGAATCTTTGAAGGGCGAAGAATGTGACTGATGATGATGTGAGAGAGTTTCTCTGCTTCCTCCTCCTTCTTTCTCTCACTGTTTTTTTTTCTTTTTTATTTAAGACAAACTTTGACTGTCTGGGATTAATTAGCCATTAGTACTCATTAGTGGAGGGGGCAGGGCTGCAGTGGGGGCGGACGTGAAATTTTGGCCTTACTCGAAAGTCGAAACTTGATTGATTAGCTGCTTAATAAATTAGCTTAAAATAAGCACTTTTATGAGTATTTTATAAAACAAAGTTCGTTATAGTAGCAAGGTTTTCTTTTACTAGGCCCACGTCTTAATCTTATCGCTACAACACGCAGTCCATGTAATACATTTTTTTTTTTAGAGACAGAGTCCATGAAATAATCTCACTGTAACAATACGTAGCAACTTTCTTTTTCAGACATAAATATCCTTCTAATAGAGACAATTCTGTTTAAAACATTATTAGACATTAAATATGAGTATCTCTCTTTACAAAAACTCGAATCTTAATTGATTATATTGCAAAAACTAACTCTTTTTACTATAGCTGACTTTCATTGCTCGCAACTTTTTTCATCAATCGTAGCGTAAATTCGTTTGTATGATTAGGATGTCTTGTTGGCACAGATTATTTGGATATATTGTTCAGCGATTTGTTTTTTCTTGGATTTGTACGTACATATATTGGGTAAGATTCCGTTCAAAGGTTTTGGATTTTTGCCCCGAGGGGGTCCCATATATTCTTTGTTCTGCGATTGCTTGCTACTATTTTTTTTATTTTTTATTTTTACCATTTTGGCCGTTGCTACTTTACTGCTATCGGAGAAATTCTTATATGCTTTGAGAATGACACGTCATATGAATTCTGATTAATCAGAAACTAACACCTAATTTAATACATAGGAATATTCTTCTAAATGTTACTTCCTTTTATTTTTTTAAAAGAAATACTCTTACAAAATCGAAGAAAAAATTATAGATCTAAACAACGTAAATCTCAATTGGTAAAATTTAAGCACGCACGAGGGGGTCAATGAATTCAAAGCGCATACATCCTCCTTGGCTCAAATGTTTCCCTTATGTTTTGAAAGGAATGTTGGCTTTCTAAATCACAGTCGAAGATCAGGTTTTAGTGTTTAAGCATGAATGCATAACGAGATTGTGAAACTATGGCAGACAATGAATCCCTGATGAATAAATCCGGAATCCAATTTTATTTCTTTGAAAAAGGCAGAAACTTTTAGCGGGTTTATGAGCAATCTTAAAATATGGGTCGGATCGAAAAAAGGTTGGGCATTAGCAAATCTGGGGTGGTTCTTTTAGATCGTTGCTTCCCACCAAATGCTTAGAAAATTCACTAGTACGAGGTTTGATGGTTTAGTGGACGTCATTTTCACAGGTCCTGTCAAAATAAAAACAACAGCTCTAGAGATGGCGTCTCTTACACACAAAAAACAAAAGGGAGTTCCTTCTGTTACCCTCGACAGAGTGGCTGCATGGTTAGGAGAGGTGACAAAATTTCATCTCAAAAGTTTAATCTTTGCGTACACAGCAGAGATTACCGGGACGGGGAAAAAAAAGAAACGTGATTCTGTCTCGCACCTTGAATGGATGTCAAGGAACTTGCCAGACATCCATAGATGTTCAGCCAGTCTCTGAAAGATGTTAGCCATGCTCCTGAAATGTATTGTCTCTAAATGACAATGACCGTAAATTGGCATTAGAAGGCCAAAGACACTGGAAATAACGGATAGGCCGAAGATATTCCAAAACCAAGCACACAGGGAAAGGAGGAAAGACAGGCCTATATATGTATTAGATAGCATTCCGTATATCTGAAATGCTCGTCTTATCTCCAGAGCATATCACCCATGAATTTTAGAGCCGGGACACCCCTTATCTCCATATCCACTAACGGTACCTCGTATAATCTCAAACCAGCGAGCTCTGAATCATCATGGATACGTTCAATGGCACGCATTTGATCCTGCAGGAACAGAAAAGTCAATGAAGCGCTAAAGTTTTATTTAGCATCTAGCTTTTTAATATTTTGGCTGTTATCAAAGGATAATCATTATCTTAGAGGGAATAATTCTGTGGAAAACTATCGACACATTTAGATTATAAAGCTACAGAATTCTATCTACGATTCACAAATTAGCCGTGCCAGGATTTTCCACCTGTACCCACACACACTTCATATCAACCTCACTAACCCATCAAGAGTCAGAGGACTCAGTTTATGCATCCTGTCTTCTGTTCCTCTAATTTATGCAATTTCGTCCGTCACTGCTTAGATTCTGGTTCCCAAGCCGGGATGAAAAGCCTTTAATGTCCTATTAAACCTGGGAAATTCCATATAGCAACTTCCACAAAGTTCACTCCTAAAAAACCAAGCCAGTGATAAACTACCTAGGTATTCTGATCTACTATAGAAGAAATTATATTTTTCTTATACGTGCGACCATAATCAGATGCAGAAACATGAATAATCCTTGATTACCTTCCTTTTCATTGAACAAAACTTGCAGTCCGATGAAGAAGGCAAGACTTGATTAATGATAAGCCTTTGAACTGGAACTCTTTCCTTCTTCAAAGATGCGTGTAACCTTGAGGATTCACGGATTGCCATAACCTTCAAGAGAAATAATCACAATAAGATTGTAGCAGAAGTTGAAGATAGACACAAGTAACAACGAAGTTTGAAAAGAGATAGTAAACTAGTAAAGTGAATAAGAAGCTGACACAGAACAGCGTTATAGAGTATAATCTCTATTGACGACAAGCAAAGAAGCCATTACTAATGGTGTTTTAGGAATTATATATAACAGAGCCCACGATGGTTCGGACAGAAGATTCAAAAGAATTGTAAAGGACCAGAGATAGCAAAGTCTTAGCTCATTGCCATAACCTTCAAGAGAAATAATCACAATAAGATTGTAGCAGAAGTTGAAGATAGACACAAGTAACAACGAAGTTTGAAAAGAGATAGTAAACTAGTAAAGTGAATAAGAAGCTGACACAGAACAGCGTTATAGAGTATAATCTCTATTGACGACAAGCAAAGAAGCCATTACTAATGGTGTTTTAGGAATTATATATAACAGAGCCCACGATGGTTCGGACAGAAGATTCAAAAGAATTGTAAAGGACCAGAGATAGCAAAGTCTTAGCTCATGATGCTAAAGTAGGAGCGAAGGGCAGCATCAAACAAACGGGCTTCAACCAAAACTATAATGTATAGAATTTAAATTGTGAATGCGTTAAGTATTAGAAAGCACAATAAATTAATGAAACCGGCACATTGCATGCAATATGTTTGTTGCCTTTATTTCTGAATTCTCATACCTAGACCCTGACTTTGACAACATTTTAAGATTCATGTTTGTTTATTGTTTAAGCATCTATGATTAACAACTTAAAAGAACTTCTATGGTGGTTGCTCAGCCCTGTTAGGCTTAATGAAATAAGGCCCCTAGATGTTGTTGGAATTCCAGTTCCCACTGCTAGTAATCTTGCAAAGCAGCAGCTCAGCATTACCGTAGGAATCGTTACTATTATGAATTCAGTGGTGTCTGAATCCCGGAAAAGCTCCCTTACTTTCGCCATCCGTTGCTTGAGTTTCTCTAGCTTGTCTGGCTGCAGGTACAAATTCAGAATACTTATATTCCAACAAGAGAAAGAGGCCTTTTAAAAATACTTTTAAAGCTTACAGCATCAGTTCCAGCTTCTTCTTTCCCAAACAAAGATTTGAACGCCGAAGACAATTTTTTCTTCAACTGGATAACATAATTAGTATCTTAGTAAAATTAGTGAAACTCATTTATAAATAAGCAAGCTATGGAACATTAAACTTAGAAAGTATTCAAGTTTAAGATTCATACCTTCATCACTTTGCCAATAGATCCATCCAGGAAGTCAGGTAATGACAGTAGCCGAAGTGTATGACCCTAATAACCAAATAATTAATTATGAATATCGATTTTCTCCATATAAATACTAAGTACATTATGCATGAACCGATAAATGTTACAGACCGTAGGTGCTGTATCAAATACAATCCGAGTGAACCTATCATATTCTGATGACTCAAGGAAATGCATCACCTGGATTAAAGTAGCATAATTAAGAAATATCAGTACATAACCTTCTAAATAATTGATATTTAAAAAGGAATGGAATACCTTGGAAATTGCTACGATTTCATCTGTGCCGGGTGGAAGAGTATGCAGCAGCTCTTCCAGTTTCAGGTCCCCTAGCTATGACAATTTTCATCAACCAATAAATTAGTAATATTAAACTAACATTTAACAAACCAGATTTGAACAGCAAAGGAGTCAAGTAGATTCAAAAGGCACTATAGTTTCTTTGTCATGTCATTGGCGAGACAATGCAGATTTCACGACTAGAGCCAAGAATAAAGCTCTTGAGTCTAACTATGGAATCTTAAGCTGTAACTAAGAGAGATGAACTAAAAGTAAAAGAAAGCAGACTTCATTAATATAAGCATCCAAAATCATTAATTGGATATTTAATTATCATCACCATTATTTTCTAAATATATAAATATAGCAAGATATAAGCTTCATGTTTGTAACTAAATGTTATAGGCTTCAGGTTTCAACAGTTAAGAGCATGAAAGCAATAACAAGAGATTGGGTCTCTAACAGGGCTCAGAAACAACTATATCATAGAGCTTGAATAACTTGAGAACGAAGGAATACTCATAATTAACACTGTAACAGCAGATACCACCTGGTTAGCAATCATTCCAAGTCCCATACTTTCCATCACATTCTTCAGACCTCCACTATCAACATTTTGATTGGCTGCATGGAACTCTTCCATAGATTTCTCAGGGTTTATCTGTCATACATGAAAGGTTAAAAATGGAACATATGACTTATGAAGTTTTGCAATGGACCAATCAAAGCAACACCAATTTGGTGCATGAGAAGTTCAATCATTGAATACCTCGAGTGCATATAATCGTGAATCCACTCCTTCAACAGGAACAAGCCTGCCACCAGTCAAATCCTAATGAAACTGTAGCGTTATATCACTGAAGTTTTGTCAAGATTCTACAGTGCACTACAATAAAGTGTATAAGCTCCATAAAATCTATGAAAACTTTAAGCACCTGGCCAAAAGAGTCGCTTAAGGAATGAGCAGGGTCAGTTGAAACCACGATAGTAGGATGTCCATGATTTGCAAATTTGACAGCAAGGGAGGCAGCACAGCTTGTTTTACCAACACCCCCCTTTCCCCCAAGCATGTAATATTTCCGCTGGTTTCCCGTCATCATGCCATCAAATCCATGAGCAATTTCTGTAGCAGTTCCCAGAAATCTCACTGCAGGAAGGAATTGAGTTCAATTGCATTTTGGTTCCCAGTAAAATAAGTATCTAAATGAAAGATGAATAAACCCCTTTCACAAGTAAAACAACGTCTGATGCTGTGAAATGCAGCTTCCTTCGAACTACATATCTCCCCTATGCCCGTTTAGCGAGTACTATCACCTCTATGATCAAACATACAATCAAATTCAAGGCCTGCTGCGTCAATTCCATTTCATGTATTAATAAGTTGGTCAGCGCAAAGTGCAAATCATTACCATTCAGGGTGAAATTTCTCATTTTCTAATGCTATCATGCGAAGCATTGTAAACTAGACACCAGATAGTAAACTGTTTGCTGCAAAAAAACTACGTGATATTGAATTTGCTATGCTGTGACCGATGCTTTGAGCTAAGTTCCTTTAAAGTTTAAGCATAGTTTTCTTATGGTCTTTTTTAATTTTGGCCAAGTTGTGTTCTGATTCTACATTTCTCCCTCCAGTTATTTCCTTCACGTCTTCTTATGATTTTTATTATTAACTCACTTGATCACAGCATCACACATAAGTAGAACAGGTCAGGAAACAATCAATGAAGTAAGCTCCCGCTGTCATGAACGGAGAGCGAAAAGGAATGAAATACCTCGAGACGAAGTGATGAATGACACGTCTTGTAACGAGGACGACGCAAGGTAAAAGCTTCTGCAGTAAAGAAGGGAGTGCTTTTGGGTCCTCGATATATAACGAAGTAGAGCCGCCATTGCCGAGCACTTTCCCGACGGCGTAAGGGATGGCACCCCACTAGGGAACCAGAAAGAGCGAGGGGCCAGCTGCGGAAACTACGCTTCCTATGCGCGAGGAAAAACAAAAGAAATTAAACCATGAGTTTTACTTTTTTTTTTTAAATACTCCTCCGATCCTTACTATATAACCTAATTATTGAATTGGTTTTGATTCTAAATATCAAAAATCATTTTTCATATTTATCAATTTTCTTTAGGGAAAACCATATTGAAGGTACCTATACTTTCTCTCAATTTTTAATTTGGTACCTATGTGTTTTTTTCCCTTTAATTAAACATTTAATTTTATCTTTTTAGCAACATTAGCTCTTATAACTTTGTTCTATTGATATTTTTAGTCTCTACATAAGGATTAATGATGTTAATAGAGGAAAAATAAAGATTTAGTTAAGAACAAAAAACACATAGATACCAAATTGAAAATTGAAAAAAAGTATAGGTACCTCCAATATGGTTTTCCCTTTTCTTTAAATTACTTCTATAGATATTCGCTCAACCATAATCAAGTAAAAGAGGAAAAAGGGGTATTAAAAAAGATAATTATAGTATTTTAGGAAAAACATGTCACATTTCTTATAATTAACTAATTTACTTAACTTCCTTAATCTAATCAAATTAGTTAAATGGGTTTTATATTAATGATCGAAAGAATATATACAACTAAATTTGGGAAATGCAAGTTTTTGTTTTTTTGCAGGGAAATTTGGAAAATGCGAGTTGAAGGAAAGAATAACCATAGCGGGAGTTAAGCCATACAGAAGTTAAAAAGAAAAAAGCCATATTACTGATATTAGTTAGTCATTTTAGTTGGGATTTTTTTTTTGCTATTAAAAAAAAATTCCTATGGTCGCTAAAAGGATGAGCCGGTGAAGATTCTTGGGCCCAACTTAGTGGTCCATTATGTAATTGAACCGCAAATGGCCCTAAATAATTAAGGGGAAAATTGCTGCTTTTCGCTTCCATCACTTTTTTGGCTCCCAACCTAAAATCAATTGTCTTCACGCTTTGAGACCTAATGTTGATGATTGATTTATGCCGGCAAATTGACATGTGGTTCTCTCCGTCACTCTGACTTCTCTTATATTACAATCTTACATGCATCATTACAACTTCCTCTCCAAGTCAGAAACATCCGACGAAAATTAAACCAAACAAAACTAATCTTAAGAAGGCGGCAAAGGGAACATTGTAGTATCTTATTTCTTCTACCTAACTGTCAATCGGAGAGCTTTCTCAATGAACAAAAGTCGGATATTCCGCAAATCGGAACGGAGTCACCAATTCTTTAACACCAGTATTCAAAGACACCTTTTTAAAGCAGACTGAGCTTCTTCCATAAGCTTCTCTTGGTTATTGTGAATTGGTCGTTGCCATAGAAAATAAGAGCCAACTTTGCGGGTCCGTGTGCAAAAATTTTATCATCCTGCACGAGCAATTGCATGGGCACCAGCTTTATATATGCCAACAAAGATCATTTTCCCCCCCTTTTTTGGTTATATGTCATTTTACTGAAAATTGCTCCCCAAAAAAAAAAAAAAAAGGTTTACTGCTCCTCGATAATCAGAATCTGTTCTCGGTTCTTTTTCTTATGCTTCTGCAAGAATGACCCGTCCATCGCAGACCCATATGTGTCACTAGTTCCCAATTTCAATGAGGAAACCGCCCACCTTTGCCTCCTGGGGAAAAAGGTGGTTAGAATTTAGAAATATAAGAAATAGAATATACAAAACATAAGCTCAGAGATGAGGAATATTGCAAGCAAAGCCAAAGGGTGACTTTTTTGTGTGTGCATGATGCCCCACTCCCACCAGCAGCCCCACCCAGAAAGAAGGTGGTTATTATCCGAGTGCCTGAACCAGCCCAATGAGCATCTTCTCTGAAAGCTACCTCTCATCCTCCCGAACAATCCACACAACTTCAACTTCAACATCTGCCGCCCTCTCTTCACCCCTTTCTTTGGCCCCAAGCTTGTGTTATCCTCCCACCAACACTCTCATGAATGTAATAGCCCTCCTATTTCCTGCTGTTTCAATGTTTCTTCCAGTAGTTGCACTGTGTTCAAGCTTGGGTACATCCAAGACCCTTCCATGGCCAGCCAAGTAGAATCCTCTCTTCACTCCCCCTCTGAGATTGTAAGTCTACTATACTTTTTCTATCAGGAATAGTGGGTTTTTTTTCTTTTGGGCGTCTTTAATCTGTATCACAGCATGTCAGTTATGAGATTACCAGGATTAAGTAAGTAGTGGTTGATTGTCTCTTCCTTTGGTTTCAGAAAAAGAAGAAACTCAATGGTCAGCAGAAAAGGGAGGAACTTGAAAGAGAGGTATTATGAATTCTGATATTATGCACACAAAGCACAATTCTGCTGCCCACTTAATCTTTTTGAGAATATTGAATGAAAGTACTGTAATTGCCTTGGAAGAATGATCGATAAACTCCTAAATTTGGCTCATATTCATGTCGATTGCCGACGAGATAATAAGCATATTTGTCAATGGGTCCGAGCATTACAAAACTGCCTGAAATAGAATCATTGCATCCTAGATTGCTCGCCTGAATTTTGCCTGATCTGGACATAAGAGAACATTTGAAATACATATGTGTTCATCCGCTTGTTTGCGTTAATTTCACCGTTGGCAGCTGGCTCAAAGCTACGTGTACTATTTTGTTTGTCCATTTAAAAGAACATTATAAAACATATGTGATTTTTACGGTCTAAAAGGGTGTTTGGATAGAAATCAAACCATGGTTTTAAAAATGCTTTTACGGTTTACGAAATAAATATATAAAGGAATTTGTCTCGTTTTGTAAAAAAATACTTCTGAAACTATAGTTGCCAAACACCCCCTAAATAATTCAAGTTATCTTTGGTTTATTCAATCACAATGGGAAGTATAGGGGTGTGCATGAGGCCCGCATGCCCAATAAGCTCGCCCGAGCCCGCAAGAAAAGCGCCCAGCCCAGCCCAGTAAAAAGCTGCCCAAGCAAAAATGGGCATCTTCGGGCTGGGCTGATTCACGGGCAGGGCAGGGCCGCGGGCAGGGTATGCTGCCCTGCCCATTTGGCCCTGCCCGAAAAATATATAATTATATATATAAGATAATATTATTTTAAGCAATTATCTCTTTTGTTTTGGCCAAAAAAATTAGGTAAAATGAAAGGAACATAAAATTATAATTATATAAAAGAGCTAAATATCAAAATATAAGATTCAATATGCTAAATTACTTCAAGTCAAATTTCTTTCTTTTTCTCTTACATCCAATTTTTTAAAACAAAAAAAAAAGAAAAATAAAACCACCTTTCAAATTTTGTGCTTTCACATGATTATAAAAATCTGCCAACTATATGAATAAACTAAGGAATTAAACTACTGATTTAGCTTGATTATTAAATGTTCTAATTATTAAATATTTTTTTTTACCTCCCATAAGAAATTGAAAGTTGAAGAACAAGACTACATAGGCCTTATATATATATGAGTGATAAACTCATTCGTGATAATTTTTTTCCTCTCACTTGTCTCAAAACACGATAATTGAATTTTTTTTCTACATATGATATAAGGCATGGTGTCGTTACGCAGGGCAGAAAAGCCCGCCCTGCCTAGCCCGTCCTTACCCTGCCCAAAATGGTTATGGCTTCTACTGGGTAGGGTCGGGCAGCAGGCTACAAAACGCAGCCCGCTCATCTTTCGGGCTGGGCATTGGGCAAGGGGTTTGTCCTGCCCAGCCCTGTCCATGTGCAGCCCTTGGGAAGTATAAACTGCCACCCGCGGTTTAAAAAGTTAGGCCTGTTAAAGTTTTCTCATCACGAGTATGTAGTACAAAGTACAACAGTTGGAACTACAAATTTCATACAATTGCCGATAAGGATGGTGGGTAATAAATGAGGACCGTGCCTTTTAGGGACTCTGCTTTCGATAGGATAATTTATGACCATGCATATTCTACCGGAAATATCGATATGTACATGTACATGATAGAGGACTATGTGATGACTTTTTAATGTAACGATTAGGTCTCTATGCTTCAAAGGTTGTTGGATCAAGAAGAAAAGGTTCATGAGATTTTGGAGATGGTTTATAATCGGCCGAATGGTGCAGCCATATCGATTCCAAATTTTCTTCCTCCCAAGGTAATATAATACCCACTTGATTTTTTTCTTCCTTGTTATTTTAAAAATGGTTAATTATTTTATATTATCCATGTCATTTGAGTAGACGAAAGAGCTTTTAACAGAACTAGTTGTGGTGGAGGGTGAGATAGCGCGACTGGAATCCCAGATAAGACAACTTCAAGCTGGTTTGAGATTGGAACAAGAAGTGAATAAAGAGTCAAAACCAAAATATTGGAATCAGGACAAGCTGAACAATTCAGAAGGTCCTTTGTCAACCGCACCAATTCCAATTCCTATGCCAAGTCCTGTTCACAGAAGTGTTCATGAAAAGATGGCATTTGAGACAAAGGCACTACACTTCATAAGCAAGGCTATAAAGGGCGATTATCATCTCAATGATTTCGCTATCAACGACAAATCTGGGTCCTTGAAGAGCTCTGTTGAGCAGAAAGAAAACAATTTTCATGAGGATATGAAATTTCAAGATAGGCATCCAAAAAAAGGTGGGGCGACATTGAAGCCTAATTCTTCACCTTTTCGAGACCCTCGTCATCCATCACCTAAGGTACTTAAGCATGCTCGTTACTTATTTATTCATGCCATGCCGTCCAATTTTGCTAAAAAAGATTGTTATTTGTGGAAAAATAGAAATAAAAAGTATGGAGCTCATACGCATCATTAAATAGCGTGGTTTGTGGGAGTTTAATTTGTTATACTATATATAAAAATTCAGGCACACCATGGCTTTCATATTTTTGTATCACTACATATTGTTTCAAAATTTTATCCCTACCTGTACGGAAATATGGTGTAAAATCCTTTTTTTTTTTGGCGGCAACAGATTGTAATACAATCTCGCTAGTTAAACTAAATTTATAATTAGATTTGATTGCCAACACTTTGATTTCATTTTCAGCTGAGGGAACGGAATTTAGAGATGTACATAGATCCACCAACGAAGTCTTTATTGGATCCACTTCTATCAGAAGAGAACGATCTGAAGTGGCAACCCAACAGGTTGTCTGAGAGCATCATGAAGTGTTTGAATTTCATATACGTGAGACTACTCAGAACATCAAGAGCAACAGAACTGGAGAAATCGGGGCCCATTTGCAGGTCTGTCCACTCCTCTTTAAGCTCAATAAGCTTCAGGGTGGATCCTGGCATAAACCCAAAATCAAGCCTTGTGTTGCAGAAAGAGTCAAGACAACAAGACCCGTATGGAATTTTCGATACAGAAGAGTCCATTCCCAGAGATATTGGTCCTTACAAGAATCTGGTTATATTCACATCCGCTTCTATGGATTCCAAGTTCATCTCAAGTCCTTCCTCTAGGCCATTGCTTAGAAAGTTAAGGTATCCCATAAATCAAATATTTCATGGAGAAAACTAAATTAGACTCAACTTGAAATTCATATATATATGTATATGCATATGCATATGCTAACTCACACGTTTCTCTAATGGAGCACAGGGTACTGATAAATAATCTTCAGACAGCCGATTTGAGAAGCCTTACCTATCAACAGAAGTTAGCATTCTGGATCAACATGTACAACGCTTGTATCATGCATGTACTGTAAATTTGATTTTATTCTTCCATTACGTGCAATAGAAGTTAGCTTAACTTGATTTCACGATGATTATTTTTTTTTTTCAACATTCCTTTGGCTTCTCCTCTCCTCTGGTATGAAAAAGAAATCTAGAAAATGAACGGTAACTGATTTACCTAAGTTCTTATCTCAGGGTTTTATCCAATATGGAGTTCCATCCACACCAGAGAAGTTACTTGCACTGATGAACAAGGTACAGTCAAGAATCTTGACATAGAAGTTACTTGTCCTGTTCCTACATTCTTGAGATTCTGAAAGTAAATGGAACTGATTGGATGCAGGCCACGCTCAATGTAGGAGGAAACACACTAAATGCTCAAACAATAGAGCATCTCATTTTAAGGAAAAGATCAGCTTCAAATATAAAAGAGGTACATATTGTGGTACCCCCCAAATATTATAGCAGGCCTAAACTGAGTTCTGTTAATTCAATTTGACATGGATATACATAGGTACATCGGAAGGGGGAGTGGGAAGAGAACGAATCAATAGTACGTGAACTATATGGCCTTGAATCTATGGATCGAAACGTCTTATTCGCTTTATGTTGCGGAACTCGTTCTTCTCCCGCTGTACGTGAAAACCGGGAAAAAAAAAAACGAGGCTTTCTTTCTCTATCAGCAAGCTTCTTTAATAATTTCTATGTCCACTGCAAGCAAACAAAACGATGAAGCTGTGTGTTGTGTATAAATGCAGGTAAGAATATACACAGCGGATGGTGTGGTAACAGAGTTGGAGAGATCAAAACTGGACTATCTGCAAGCTTCAATTATGGTGACAAACACTAGAAGAATCGCATTTCCAGAGCTGTTACTGAGAAACATGCTTGATTTTGCGATGGACACGGACTCTTTGGTGGAGTGGGTGTGTAACCAGTTGCCTACATCAGGTAGTCTGAGGAAATCAATGGTGGATTGCTTTAGAGGCTATACCAATATCAAGGCTTCCACCATCGTTGACAAGATTCCATACGACTATGAATTTCAATACTTGTTGTCTGTATAAAGATGATTCTTTTCTTTTCTTCTTTCTTTCTTTTTGCAAACAACCAAAAAAAAAAAAAATTATACACAATATGCACCTATAACCTGGGTATGGTACTATAGAAATTGCGGGATGATAATAATAATATGGGGGTATTGAATAAGAACTCGGCAACTTTGATGTTTTTGACACATTTTTCTTTGGTGAATAACAATGTCTCATTCATGTCGTTACCCATATGAAATTTTGATTTTCATCACTGCTGTCTCCTATCCCACCAATTAGATTTTAGTGTGAGGATAAAGAATAACCTTTGATATCTTCGACAAATTTTATTTTGATCAATAACCTTTCGTTAATTGCGACAAACATATTGCATACCATATTTTTACAGGGTCGTGAAAACATTGATATCATCGATCTTAATTATAAAGAATTAAAATAGAAATAATCAGGGTAATTAAGTAAAAAATATGATTAGCATAATTTATTATATTTAAAAAATTTAAAATAATTCTAAAAACCATTAAATTCATAAATATCCAAAGCGAAGTCATCGTGGAGCCAGGGAAACTGAAACGTCAGAGGGCATCTTGATACCGTCAGACCAAATTTTGGAATCTAAATAAAACTTCGAAATCTTTCCAGCGACGTGGATCATATCAGGCCGCTTCGCTGGATCCACGTCGACGCAGTCCAACGCTACACGTGTCGCCTCCTCTGCAACCTCTATAGGAAATGAGTCCTTCAGCCTCCAGTCCAACCACTTCCTTGTACCCCCGCCGCCCTCACAATCACCGTGGACGGCAGCCCTCGCCGTCTCGATCACCGACGACCTCATCAAAGCGCCCCTTTTCTTATCGAACTTATAACTCAGTGGCTCCTCTCCTGATAGGAGTTCCAGCATCATTACCCCGAATGCGTACACATCGGACTTCTCGTTCGCCACCCCTGTAGTTTGATATTCCGGCGACATGTATCCTCTCACTCCCTCGATTTTAGCTCGCAAACTGCCCCATTTTTTCAATTCTATCGATCTCGTAGGCGACCGGGAAAAGTAAGACTGCTCGACGATTTCTTCTCCCTCTTGGATTTCACCGCACAGCTGGGCGGTGCCGAAGTGACATATCTTGGCGTTGAAGGAAGGTTCCGTGACGATGATAGCACTGCTATTGATGTGATTATGGGAAAATCTCGCCTTTAAGCCTGTTCTGTTGTGAATATAATCGAGTCCGTGGGCTACGTCCGTCGCGATCTGCATCCTCGACAACCAGTTAGATAAAACAGTGAAGGCCGGGTTGTTTGTATTTCGCAAACAATCAGCGAGCTTGGTTCCACTCACAAAATCGTACACAAGGTGGATATGGTGGTCGGAGATGGAAGCTCCGAGAAGCTTGATTATACTAACATGGTGGCTGCGGCAAATTAGAGAGAGCCGTTGTTGGAGCTGGGTCGTCCCGATTTGACGTCGAAACTTGTGCTGGTAAACAATAACATCTCTGCCGCGAAGCGTGCATCGCCAAGAGGGAGTAGAAGAGGAAGAGTAGCAGTACTTGTCCGTGAAATTGTTAGTGGCAGAGCAAATTTCAGAGAAGGGGTAGACGTGGGGATTCTCAGGTAGGGTGTCTCTGAGAGTGGCACTAGCAAAGGAGCGAGGGCTCGAAACAGGGGCGTGGGGAGCGAGCATGTCACTTATGGAGGTGGTGTGTTGATCTGATGGTCGGAATGAGATGGAAGAGATGGTGGGGGAGGAAGTGGTTGGTCTTGGGGATTTGGGATTGGGGTGAGACTTGTAAGATCGAGGGGTAGAGGTAGGACTGGCAGCGTTGATGGCCTTTTTTGTTTTACACATAAGGCAGAGATCAAGAAGATGGAGAAGCAAAAAACAGACGAATTATTATTAGCTGCATTAGATTTGTGAAGGAGGAGATGAAAGCAATATGGGGTCAGTCACTGCAGAATGTGGAGTTGACGAAGCCGAAGCTTACTTCTGAAGGCAAGACAGGCAGCTCTTAACATTTTAGTAGAATTTATACTTTTGAATCAACAACGTAAGTAGGTTAATAAACAAAAAAAGAAAATGTATGTGAATGGATTCCGCCCAGAACAGGTTATGAAATCATTGCTTGGTTTACCTCAGTTGCTTAGTGCGCATTTGCGTGTGTATATCTGCTATGACCGTCGTGGCTTACTGGACTTGGTCAACTGGGAAAGACTTGACAGGCGCGACTCCATTAATGTGCCGCTGTCGACATTACCGCCACTAGTCATGCTGCTCTTGTAATACCTTTCCAAGCCTTACGCCTGCATTTTCTAATCCAAAAAGGACTCTGCAATTTAAATTCCACACGGCTACCAAAATGGGATTTTGAAAAACAACCCGTTCTTGGAAAGCAGAGGGAGCCTTGAACCCCTCAGAGTGATGAGGAAGGGGAAAGAGATAAATAGGGCGGGTGGGTTAAAATGATTTAGGGGGACCACCTGCTCTTTATTTACAGTGACGGATGAAAGGAATCCTAATCATTCACAAATGAGTGAATGGAGAGAATTGCAAGGCTTCATGTAACGTCGAAAGTTCATTTCTGAGTCGGTCTCAGGAACATAGCTCCGGACAGCGACCCAGAAGAATGTGCAACTAAATAAAAAGTGGTAACAATGGGCGTGGGGCATTAGGCATGCAAATACAGATCGAGAGATGTCTTCAAAAAGAAAATCGGGGATCATAATGGGCTTAATGCCACGTGTTACCCAAAGGTCTGGACATAGAATCAAGGAGCCCAAAAACATGGAATACGCAAGGGTTTGGGGCCATACGAAACGAGGGGTGCGCATTGCGTAAACACAGTGACAATACCAACCTTCCACGCATGGAAGCAAAATATTGGCATCTTGAATTCCACATTGGGCCAGGAAGGCACTCATTAGCCCAAAATCGGCCAGCCCGATTATATTCCTTGGCAAGAGAGAGACTCCATTCTTTAGGTCCCCCCCCCCCAATTCTTTAGGCTCTTTTCGGCCACGTAATCTTTGATCAAAAAAGGAAAGAAAGGAAAATTATGACTGAGATTCACCAAACAAGAAAGAAAAAGGTTTGTAATTAGCACGATGGCGTGGGTTTACCAATAAATAGTTATTTTAACACTTTGGGAATCCTAGTCACCGAGGTTTAACTTCGCTGCTGTCGAGTTTTGAGGAATCTGTCTCAGTTCATTCCATCAATCATACTCCCACCCTATTTACTCCCGCCTGATTAACATTCCTATTTTAGGACAAAGCACCTTTAGCAGCAAATTAGCATCCTTTTTCCCTTTAAATAAAGTTTTGCTTAGCACAGCGAGATCCCTGTTGTTATTAAAGTACTGAGAAACTTTTTACCCTCACTCGCCAATTTTATAATCTTCTTCTTGCTGGAGCCTGTACTAAAAAGCAACACAGTGCTCTCGTGTATTTCCAAGGTTTCACGAATCAACAGTAGACACAGTAAATGTTGTTACTTGCGGCCTCCTCCTGTAAAAGCAACATGAGTGAAAAAGCAGGAAGGATAACGGAAAGTGGGCATGCACTGATGATATATCGAGTTTGAAATATTTGGTTTATTTGATACTGTATTTATATCAAAGCAACATTTTTTGTTGGGAGCAGATTGCATATATTACGCTGGCTGGCATTTCAACATGCTGATTCTCTTTGTAACCCTCCTTTGTAAAAAGGCGGGTTCGTGATTGATCCGCATCCTTTTGTGGGAATTGGCAATCACCCATGTTGGTTTGCACATTTGAACAAAGGAAAAAAGGAACATGTTCCTTCCTGGACAGACCCCACCCATCATTTAGATGCTTTCATGTGATTGATTACACAAATGAAGAAGGATCATCAATGTGACTGAGATTTCAACCCAGCCATCTGCCTTTTCGTGAAATATCATTCATATTCTTCCTTGAAGCTAGAGCATTTATAGACCCCTAGTGGCCTAGTTACATAGGCATCCTCTTTCTTCAACCATCAAGTTCATTAGTTCCACATCCGTGTTGACTCTGGCATGCACGCACATGCAGTATAATGAAAAACAATAATCCAGGTCTCCCTCAAGTTATTAGCGCAAAATATACAGTAGAGATTTAACGCCATGCATACTACACTGATATTGTGAATCCTGAAAGATATGGAGAGAACATGTGCTCGTCAAATGGAAGCGTGAATTGGGAAACAAGAGAGAAGGAGAGAACCATATGCGCGGTTTGGCTTGATTTATTTCAGGCATTAACTTTATGCGGGATTACCCAAAATGCACAAAGGAACAGAAGGGCTGAACAGTGAAAAGTGGGAGTGATTTTAAAGGATGAGTGAGGATGAAGGGACACGATTGGGTGAGGAGGGCGATGGAGCCCCAGAAGAATGGCAGTGGCGTGAATATGGGGAAAGCGCAGTGCCAAAAATGGGAAAGAAACGTTGGAATGGGGAGAGAGAAAGAGAGAAGTGAAAGGTTGAAAGTGACATGCACTGAGAGGACAGAGGGCGTTGCACAAGGCCAAATGGCACCTACAGTCCCACAGGCACATTAAGGGCAGGCCCTGCAATGGATATTTATAGTACTGCAACCATGGTAGGCAGCTAATATAGGCCAGTTTTCTAATATAGGGTTTCTGTAGTGACGTGATTGCCTGACCTCACCACCAATTTAAAACCCCCCTCCGTCCTCGCCCCCCACACTTTAATAGCGATTGTTCCTTTTGTTGTCTTTTCTTTTTATGGCTCCTCAAATTTTAAGCACACATCCTTCCCCTGCTTAGCTTTTATCCGCACACATAGTTCTATTCGATTTACTGTAATGGGAATATGTATGGGATCATCCATATGTCCAAGCTTCAACCAGATAGTTAATTATTACGATAACTTGGGTGTTACTCTAATGTGGGCATATTGAGGATTTTATTGTCCGAGGGGAGATTATTTCAGTATACCATGTGGGTAGGCCTTTTATTTAAATAAGGGGTCCCATGCATGCACAATTTGAGACAGATAACGGACAAGATGCACTTCAGTGGGGAGGGATACGAAGAACAGGCGGTTGGTTTTGTGTGGAGGGTCGAACAGAGATGGCCATTGAATTCTTCATTTACTTCTTTGCCTGTGGATGGCTTTCACTCCATCCGATTCATTAATGCTCATAATTAGCCTTTGTTTCAGTTACATTTTCTCATATCTCCTCCAGCAGCCAGGGCTTGACCTGACACTTCAGTACTCCAAGGCCTACATCAAAATCGACCGTGTGATCTTCCCAAGTTAAATATATACAGATAGAACTGCCTTTGTGCGGGTCTACTAGAACCAGAGTGTAGATCGTATAGTAATGCATGGATAAAAAGGAGAAATAAACAGAGAAAGAAAGGGAGAGAGAGAAGGAGGAGGAGATGACGTAAGGTGAGGAGAGGGTGGCTCGAATGTCGGAGAGGAGCAGAGTGGGGAAGATCTTTTGGTTAATGGCAGTGGTAATATCCCCATTTACCGATAACACGAGAAAAGCTGATCACACGCTCAAT